ATAACTAATTAAAATAACTCTCAGGTAAACTGCATCTCTACCTTAATCAAATCAGTTCAATAAAATATTACTAGGTCTTTGTTTCTCTCAAACTACAGGGATTTTTGATTCGTGCTATATTGGAATACCTTCAGCAACCTGACCAAATTTACAGTATGGCTGTTATTGGTATTCTGCTGGCAATATCAGAATTAGTTCGACTCATGTCATTATCGGATATTTTGCATTCACGTCAAGAACTGGTTTGCGAGTTCGCAGTGCTATCATGATGGTAATATATCGTAAGATGATTAGACTACGTAGTCTGAAGAACAAGACAGTTGGAGAGGTATTATTTATTAGTTTGCCACATTGTTTTTCAGGACACTGATTGTAAGAATTTGACATTTGTTCCTTCATCACTAATATTTCAGACTTGCCTTGGCCTATTGTATTTAACCTTTACATAAATGATATAGATATATATTATGTAAATCATAATTGGCAGTTGTTTTGTGATCCCATTCTAGATGGCCGAATAACAGCCATTTCAGTGCAAAAAATGCACCAAAAGGAAATAATTATGCTGTTATGTAACTTGAGCTGGATTTAATTCTTTCAAACTTGGTTCATACACCAAACATCAAGGGACTGAGTTAATGCATGTCATTTTGTTTTGTAGATCAGATTTGTATTATCAGCCTCACTGTCATCCCGCATCCCACATCAACTTTTTTTTTTCAAACGACTTCTTCTTGAAATCCGTTAAGTCTGTTGCTTTCATCCCTGGGACACATGTTCCTGTTCCTCAGGTGGAGGTATGTTGACCGTCAGGACACTTGTATGTTTTTATCCATCCATACATGCAACCGTCCATCCACTCCATCCCTTCCACTTTCCCTCCATTCATCTATTCCCACCCTCCATCTATCCATTCATCCTCATCCTTCTCTTCCCTCATATTTCTTCTTTCCTTCCCTGCCCTCCTGCCCATATCTAATATAACAATACTTTGATCAGAGAATATTCACTGTGTTCTTTAACGTATTACGCAGTAAAGACTAAAAGACGATGACACATACTGTTTATAGTAAACTTAAAGAATGACCAGTTGCCTTTTTCTATTCTGTGCATATTTACTAGTACAATATGCAAATAAGCAATATGCAAATATTACATGTTCAAGAGTTTTGAAATAATGCTTGACTACATAATTCTTCTGTTTTTCAGTTAGTGAACCTATGTACCAATGATGCACAACGTTACTTTGAATTGTATGTGATTGTTCCTCTTCTTGGCGGTTGTACTCTGCTTACATTATTGGGAATTATTTATATTTCTGTACTCATGGGGATATCTGGTGTTGTAGGAGTTTTTGCAGCTTTTTTTGTTTTCTGGCCAATGCAGGTAAATATAAAATGTAATACACCTTAGTGGAAGTTTGGTAAACAGTGTTTTTTATTCCCTGTCAAACATATTTTTTTTAGTTCTGTCCATCCATCTATTTGATGATATACATGTGTTTCATTTCCGCATGGATTCAACTCATTACAGCGAATTTTATAGATTTTTATCAAAGGGGGACAGTAGACAGGCTCAGCTGTGGGTTTTTTTTTCAATTAAATTATAATAATAAAAAACTTGGGATGAACGCAAAACCACCACAATTTTGTGGTTACATGGGATTTCACATTAACACCTCCATTTCGCGATCCAACTACCCATGACCGTGACTTACTGAGGCGAGACTGTATATGCAAATAAATTTGGTTTTTAATTTACTGATTTTTGTTGAAAAACATAAAATAATCACCAGTTTCTGAGGCATGCCTAGTCGATTGGTGGATGGGTTGATTATGCAAGTCATTTTGTTGTGCAATTTAATTGATTCCAAGTGCTGATTGTTACTTGCCCAGCCCTTTTTCTTGCATGCTCTACCCATCGATTTTGTTAAATTTAGAACAAGATATAATGATTTATATAACAATATCTGTTTGTGATTATCCTGTCTCTCTGTCTGTCTGTGTGTATCATGTGTGTTAACCATTGAGTGGATTTGAATGCAATTTTTTTACGCAGATACTCCAAAGACTTTATGGTATACATTTGTGCATATTACATGTAATAAGTATTTTGCATAATTAACCAGTTGTAGCATGTATCATCTGTGTACACATATCCCATTGAATAGTTTGTAATTATTCTGTGCATATTTATTTTCAAGTTTGCATACTATTTAACTATTTTCAGTGTATTTATTATGTGTGATAATAATATTCATGCAAAGTGTAAGCATACTTTTTGTGTAGTTGCAGGACTGGTATTTATTCTGTGCATTTTAATTTGCTACTTTGCTTAATTAACTAGGTTTATCATGTTCTATGTACTAGTATATCTTTTGACAGTTTGTTCCAATGCATTGAAACTTTGTATGTGCATGCTGTCTGTAGAGAAGAATACACTGGTATATGCATGTTATTACCCTGTCAAATCTCAAACTTGTGCTTTTGGGTTTCTTTGGGTTGTGTCTGTATGTTTGTCTATCTAACATTGTTTCTTGGAGATGTCTTGACTAATTTTGTTCAAAGTTGGTTTAATTTATATCCTAGATAATCACCAATGTGATAAACACAGTCCAGTTAGTATCCTTTTGCATTATCTAGATTCTAGGCAAGGCTGTAATAGTTTCACTGTGTTTTGAAAGTTTGGAGTTGTTCAGTAAAATTACTTGCCCAATACTTTCAGTTATATTTCAAACTTAATGATTTTAAAATAATATAATATATATTTAGTATTTTTGTCATATTATTGCCTCCCACACAAGTTCTTTCAATGCTTTGATTTATGTTTGTTGACTCCCATGTGCGAAGCACAAAAGGGAGTCTTTGCAGTTACCCTGTCTGTATGTCTGTCTGTATGTATGTATGTATGTATGTATGTCACTTTTTTTGTTCCACCGTTATCTCAAGAACCACTAATCAAATTTTCGTGAAACTTGGTACATAGATGCTCTGGGATGATGCGCAGAGTTGATTAGGTTTTGGTAAAAATCTATGAATATTAATTACCTAATTTGCATGGTAATTAGCTGATTTTTAGCTGTTCCAAGACTGTTCCACTGATATCTGAAGAACCACTCATTGGATTTTGATGAAACTTGGCACATGGATGCTCTGAACTAGTGCGCAGATTTGATTAGTTTTGGGTAAAAA